ACCCAAAATTTGGGAAGGAAAGATTTATTTAACATATAATTCTTGGAGATTTCAGTCCATAATCATTTGGTTCCAAGGGAGGAGGCAACATTTCAAGGCAGCAGCAAGCAAAAGCAGCCAGAGCAAAAGGAGGAAGAGGAAACCTCTTTTTAACTCTTTTATTGTACACAGCACCCACCCATGGGGTGGGTGTAGTACTCACAAAATCTTGCCCTCTTCTTGCACAGGATGAAGATATTTACAAAGTAAAGATCATGGCTCCCTGCTGAGTCTCTCAAACTTCTAAACTCAAGTTGACACAATGTATCAACCATAACAGGTAAAGATAGTAATCAAGTAGAAGGGAAAGAAAGCAAAACAGTAATACACAATTAACATAATGACAGGTATAAGTCAATACCTGTTTTAAATATCAATGTAAGTGGGCTTATGTTGCCAACCCCCCCCCCAAAAAAAAAACCACTTATTAGCAGAATGGAACAAGAAAAAATAATCTGGTAATATAATGTACCTAAGAAACATATTTAACACAAAAAGAAATTCATAAACTAAAAATCAAAGGGCAGAAAACAGTACTCCATACAATGAGAACTCCCCCAAAACAGTAGAATATATCTTTAGACAAAGTGAATTTCAAGACAAACCTGATCAGAAGAAGCAAAGAAGAATATTAGATATTGGTTAATAGAACTATTCAACAGGATATAACAGTTACAAACATATAGTCATCAAACCATGGTGCACCTAATTTCATAAAATAAACTCTAAATTTCACAAAATACCAGTAAAACATCAATACAATTATGGAGGGGGATCTCAACACCCCACTATCACAAACAGATAGATGAAGCAAACAAAATATTAATAGAGAAATAAGAGTTGATATTCAAACAAATGGACCCCATAGATATATGCAGAAATATGTTGCTGTTCCACCCAGATCAAAGCAAGTGGGCACTCAAGTTCTCCACCCTAACCATAACAGAATAAAGATTCTTTTTGGCTACACATGGTAATTTCTCCAAAATGGATCATATACTAGCTAATAATACATGCCTAGGTAAATGGAAAAGAATCAGAATTTTACCATGAATATTACATTGCAACTACAAATCAATAGCAAAAGAAATCACAGAAACTATGCAAACATGAAAATTAAACAACATAGTCTTCAGTAATCATTGTGTCACAAAGAAATAAAGGAAGAAATAAGAGTTTTTAGAATTAAATAATAGCACCAGTATGACACACCAGAACTTATGGGACACAATAAAGGCACTGCAAGAGAAGTTTACAGAAGTAAGTGCTCACGTCAGAAAAACAGAATGATTCCAAGTAAATAACCCAATTATGCACCTCAAGTCTTAGAAAAACAAGAACAATCCAAACCCAGAGTTTATATAGGGAAGGAAGCTACAAAGATCAGAGTAAAAACTGATGAAATTGAGAATAAAGAATCAATGAATCAAAAAGCTTGTTTTCTGAAATAATAAATAAAATCAAAGAACTCTTAGCTGATCTTACTAAATATGAAAGAAAAGACACAAATTAATGCAATTAGAGATGAAAAAGATGAAATCACAATGGACACTGATGAAATTCTGAAAATTACTAGCAACTACTTATCAAGCATATGCTAAACAGTTGAAGAATTAAGAATAAATGGACAGATTCCTAGATACCTATGAATTTCCAAAATTATTTCTTGTATAAGAGGTCTTTATTTTCCCCGAGTGAAGTGGGTGTGCATTTAATATTTGGATCAATGTAATAGAGTGTGGATTTAGAAATTGAAAATATAGGCACCTCAGAGTAGAGAAGACCTTGAAACACTAAACCCCTGGGAAGTCGTAGCAATAAAATTGAAGATTGGAAACAGAGTTTTCCAAGTCAGTGAACTGAAGTTACTCATTTTCAACCAGTCTTTTATGTATTATTTTTAACATTTTCTACCTCAAAAGTTAATATTGCTGAATAAACCTCCTTCCATAGTTTCTTGAGTAACTGAGACAATGAGAATTTAATCATTCATTAGTTACCATGCTCTGCTGAGTCGAGACCCTTGGACAGCTGAGTGGGGAGTCTGAGGACAGGAGGAGAGTTTGACATGTATCAGCTACATTTCAGGCAAAGGGAAAGTAACATTTTTGGCCCTGACTGAAGATACCCAGTGGAGAAGACTTCTTTGTTCTATTAATTAAAAAGGAGCAAATTAAAAAAACAAACAAACAAAAAGGAAAGGAAAAGAGTGAAGGGCAGAGGCAGGTCCTGTAAGGAGGTGCCTGAAGCAACATCCAGGAGCAAGCCTGCTGCAAAGCAAGTGGGCACTCAGGTTCTCCACCCACATCAACCAGCCAGCAGGGGAATGAAGGGAAAAGAAAAGCAAACAGTGACTCCATGCCTACTCTCATTCTAGCATTTCAGATCTGCTTGGCAGTCCTCAACTTCGGTGCAAGAATTTCTAAGGCTGCTTTGTTGCTTTTAGGAAACTGGGAAATACATGTTCTTGATTCCTGAGTTTGGCTTTCCTCTACACACTTTTCCATTGTCCAAAAGATTAATGGTATGGCTCACTTGAATAAAACTACCCATGTTAATTCTAACAAAATTTAATACTTAGAATATCTGTTCCAACAGTTTTTAAATGCACTGTATTTTTTTGCGGTGGCGGAGGTACCAACAGAGGCCTTTATTTACTTTTTATTATTTATTTATTTATTTATTTATTTATTTTGGGTACCAGGGATCAAACTCACAACCTCGTGCTTGCAAAACAGGCACTTAGGCAGTTGAGCTAAATCTCTGGCTCCTAGGCCCTTAAAACTGAGAAAGACCAAATGAAGTGGCAAGTCTTCAGAGAGTGGCGTCTAGCTGGTCTCTTGAAGGACCTTTGAATCTCAGTTAGTGACACAATAAACCAATGGACTTACGTTTAGGTTTGTCCTGAAAACCCAGGGAAGCCCGAGGCCACAGGCTGCCCATGCTTCCGGCCTCTCTCCATGTGGTCTTTCCCCTACTTCCCTCACGGTGTTTTATCCCTTCCCTCCTTCTCCATGGCCTTGCTTTCCTCGCCTCTTTTCTCCTTTTCCCTCGCTGCTCCATCTTCTCTGTGTCTCCTCACCACCTGGGCACCTATCCCAGGTCCCTGCTGCGTATCCCCGCCATCCTCAGCCCTGTGTCTCCCAGTGGCCGCCAGTGCAAAGGAGCGCAGTGAACAGGGCCTTGTCCCTGGCAGCATTTGCTGGCATTCCTCTTGGGGGGGTGGGGGGAGCTGCGGGCAGAAGAGCAGCCTTGCTGCCCTCTCCAGGCCCCGACTTGAGCAAGACGCCCCAGGCCAGGAACTGAAAGCCGCATCCACATCCATGCTGGATTTGGCTCTTGTCTAAAAACCGGATGTCCTGCTCTGGAGCCAGCTTGTCTGCCCGCTCTTTCTGCACGTTCTCTTAGCTTTCAGGTCCCACTTGTTTCCCACACTTGTCCACCGCAGCCAAGGCATTTTCTCTGATGCTTCTCTCCCAGTTCTGAACATTCTCGAAAGATTTCTCATCCGTGGTGTCAGGACAAGGTGGGCAATCACTGGAGACATGAAGACCGGGACGATGCCCGCAGCTCCGCGGCAGCAGGCAGCAGTGACCACCTTGAATCGCTCCTGGCCAGCCGTGCCCCAGACTTGCAGTTTGATCGTCCCCTCAATGTCCACAGTGCGGATCTTGAAATCAGTTCTGATGGAGGAGAGGCACGTGCTGCTGAAGTTGTCCTCCGCAAAGTGAATGTTCAGACAGGTCTGAAGAGGTGGCCCTAGGCCTTGGCCGTGGGGTCCTAGGCCTTGGGGTGGGGTCCTAGGCCTTGGGGTGGGAGCGCCCTGCTGGGACCGCAGCAGAGGGCTGGTTTTGGTTTTTAAATATAGTATCTTAGGAAAGCCCTGCGCTTTAGTACTTTGTAAAATAAGATCCTCAGGTCACTTTCATGAGCTGCTGGATTCCTTCATCTTTTAGGAAAAAGAAGAGGGCACAGGAGAAACGCTGCTTCCTGTCTCCAGTGATTGCCCACAAGCATGCCTAGTAACACATCCAACATCAGAGAGCAAAGAAACTGTCCACCTACAGATGATTTCCTCACCTACAGTATGAAATGGATGAAACAGTGGCACTCCCTACTTACATGTTTATGAAAATAGTGCTTCCTTCTAGCTGCTGTACAAAAGTGTAAATGATGCCAAAGACAAAGTAAAGCCCATTTAAGCTATCGCAAATTTCCTTAAATTCAATTTTGATGTAGATCAAATTTTAAACAGACATATATTTACATATGTATTTGAGTATGCATGCTTTTTACTATAAAAGACAAACTATTCAAACTGATTCAGACATATACAGCTTTATGATATCTACTTTTTAACCGGGTTTTAAAGAAAGCATGGTTTGCAGATTAGAAATTTTAATGTTAGGATATAGACAGGAATAAATTGAATTGATTTATACTTACTACAACAAATCTTGGGAAATAGGTCCAGTTCACTTCATCTATATATTCATTTTTCTGAGAATTCAGTGTACTTATTAATTATAGGGTGGAACTTAAAGTTTAAAAAGTGATATTAAAGGAGGTAGTATAATGAAATATTCTATTTGAAATTTGAAAAGCTAGTTGTACTACATAATTAATTTTTCCTGTAACTGGGGCTATAACTTAGTCTTCCCAAGAGAATTCAAAAATTACCAAATGATAATCGTAACTGCTTTAGAAGGCAATTATGTAAAGGCTTTAGTTGATTTTTTACTGTAGCCATTATAAAAATCAAATTAAACTCCTATGGCTTTTTTATACCCACAATTCATTTGAAACAAAAATAGCTTAAAATATAAATGTTTGGATTTCAGAGCATATAATATTTTGCTTTTATAAATCTAAATGTGATTATATATATGGATATTTGATGTTAAAAGGCTAAAAATAAAATCAAATGTGAAAAGATCAAAGTGTTGATGACATGTACCCACCTTTAATGTGACATTACAGTGTTCAACAAATGATGCATTTATCCATGATCTTGAATGCGGATTTCCCAGGAATTCTACATGATACTGTTCAACATTGCCATCTGAGTCATAGGTTACATATTTCATTTTAAAAGGATCAGGAGAAAGTATCCCTGGCCACCTTTCAAAATAAAATATTTTAAATTAGTAGGGTTTTTTTTTTCAAAAAGGCAGGCATCAATACATCTACCACAATCATATATCATGCTTAAGAATTTTAATGACTTTCATTACAAAACACACATTTATATTCATATCTTTTAAAGATGGGTTATTCATTTGCTAAAAGTAATAAGCTATATCTTTGAAGCTATGGAAGCCTTTGAAATAGTTACAAATGTGAGACAGATAAAAGAATCATAAAACAAAAGAATGATCTGGGTCAGTACATGATGTTTAGGTACTGCTGACAGAAAAGATAAAAAAGATTTATCAAATTCACGGCAGGGTTCAATTAACTCTAATCAATAGCAATGATAAATTACAGAAGTTTTAACTCGCTGGCATGATTTTTGACAGAATGGAAGAAAGGCAGTGTACCCTGAGCCAAGAATGCACTCCCTCAAATACTGATATCGCAGACTAGGATAATATTATATAATAAAACTACTAGAGAAAAGCAGACATAAAGTTCCACAATTTCATAGTGTCCTTTTTTCCTCTAGCACCTCTACTAGTTGGTGAGCAAATTGTTAAAAATCCTCAGTACTCGAAATGAAATATTCTTATGCAAAATATTTAATGTGCTCTCATAACCTAAATCACTAGAAACTCATTGATTTGTTTCATCTTTCTCTGACCATTCATTTCTCACATTTTTTCCTTTTCTATTCTTCCTGTTCTAGGTTTGTTTTGTCTTTCTTTCTTTCTTTCTTTCTTTCTTTCTTTCTTTCTTTCTTTCTTTCCTTTTTTCTTTTTGAGACAGTGTGTCACTATGCAGTTCAGATTGGCCTTAAACTCACTTTGTAGCCCAGGTTACTCTCAGACGTACCACAATCCTCCTCCCTCAGCCTCCAAGTGCTGGGATTACAGGCATGTGCCACCACTCCCAGCTCTGCTTTTCATTTTTTTTTTTTTTTTATCGGTACTGGGGATCGAACTCAATGACTGCCTGCTTGCAAGGCAGGTGCTTATGCTGCTGAGCTAAATCCCCAGCCCCCTCTGCTTTTCATTTTTATATCTGTAGCAAAGAGCTCCTTACATTGATAACTTTGGTGAATAAAACTGAAACAATGCATCCATATGAAGCGTAAACACAAAACTAGAGAAAAAGTCCTTTAAAAAAATCCCTCTGATCTGATAAAAGCAGCACTAGAAAGCTATTCAAATTACTTAGTCCATTAGATTTTGTTTTAAAACAAAGCCCAGCCAGGTATGTGGCACTTTGGTATAATCAAAGCACCTGGGAGGATAAGGCAGGAGGATAGCTGCAAGTTCCAGGCCATCCTGAATTAGAGCAAGACTGTACTACCTCAAGAAAACCGGAAGAGAAGAAAAGAGAAGAGACAAGGGAAGGGAAGGGAAGTGGAGGGGAGGGAGGAGAGGGGAGGGGAAGGGAGGGGATGGGAGGGGAGGGGAGAAGAGAAGAGAAGAGAAGAGAAGAGAAGAGAAGAGAAGAGAAGAGAAGAGAAGAGAAGAGAAGAGAAGAGAAGAGAAGAGAAGAGGACAGTTTTGGTGCTAAATCCAAATGTTTAGCACTAGATTAGATGACACTTATGCATCAAAAGCATGACCAGTGCAAAAGAAAGGGAAACACATGGAGTCTACATTATACTTGAGAAAAAGAAGGACATTAGAAGAATTAAATAGTTCAAAGATGGAATTTTCAGTCTCTTCAATTATTTTTTCTTTCTGGTTCAGAGCCTAAAGGACAGCACCATTTGCGGACTGCAGAGGAAGAGAACAAGTCAGCAGGAAGCAAGCCGCCCTGTGAATCAGCACCGTGCACTGCCTGCCACCGCCAGGGACGGAGCAGCCAGAGCCTAAACCACCATTTGGATACTGAAGTGTGTGAGCATAATGTAAAGCGTGTCTTTGTGTGCACAGATGTGATCTGTATATAGGAAGAGAACCACATGACCTCTGAAAGTCTTCTCTAGCTCTATAATAAAGTGACTTTGTATCATAGTTGAAAGTTACTAAATTATCTAAATACCTCCCTTATCAGACATTTGACCAAAAGAAATGCTTTTGTATCATAATGAAGGGCAGAATATGGTATGATTTTAGTGCTATAACACTAAATGAGTAAGACATAGATGAGTTTTCAGCAGTATGTAGATTTTTTTTGCTTTCAGGTTAAATATCTTAACTTCTATTGATATTTTATATACCATGTTTTAAACAAACATTTTCTTAAATAGTATTTAGACTGTCTGAGTTACTTTTCTTGTTGCTGAGATAAAATACCTGACACCCAGAGTTAAAGGATGAAAGATGTATTTGGGCTCACAGTTTGTAAAAGTTTCATTGTACAATCCCCTGGCTCATGGAAGCAGGCAGGGCAGAGCAGAAGACAAGCAGAAGCAACAATAAGCATCAAGCAACAAGTGAGGACACTCTTTCCATCACTTATGTCTTATCCAGGCTACCTGCTCTTAGACTGGATACAACTCGCACGCAGGGTGGGGCGCCCCACTCCTACTCAGAATTATGCCACATCAATCAGCAAACTCATTTCATAATCATGCACCCCTAGTCCCAGCATCATGTACTCTAGATGCAGCTACCTCTGAAAAAGCCCCAACTGTGACTGTGTGAGACTGCAGGGGGATACTACTCAGTGTAGAGTAGCTGGGGAACTGCAGGGTGAAAAAAATCTAAAATCTGAAAAATCAATCAATGAGTTTTGAAAAGGAGGAGAGAAAAATGAGGTAGGAGGTCCTATTGAGAATTAAAGGAAATTAATAGGGTTGGAGAATAGTCACAGAAAAGAATGAATATGAAAAAGAAAACAAGTGTTTCTATAGTGCAAAATACAGGAAATAAATATAATCAGGAATTAAAAGAAGATGACAGAGGAAGAGAGAAAAGAGAGAAAAGAAATAAAGAGGGGAAAGGGAGAGAAAAAACCCTACCACTCCACTCCAAAAAGAAGGAAAAGTTAAAAGTAATAAAATAGAAAAATCATGAAATGACTGAGTCAAAGAAAAATTTGCTGTTTCTGAAAGAATGGTTTCTTTCCAAGATCTGCAGTGTTGTCCTATAGTCAGTCACAGTTTTCTGTGCCTGGCTTTAGTATCTGTGGAAATTAAGGTGCTCTCCCTTCATCTGAGGACCCCATGTTAGCAGCCAACTAAAGTGTGCCCTTGCTTGCTTCAGTAGATGGAAAATATAATCAGCCCTTTGGTCTCTGCTGAATGTAGGCTGCAGCACTAGTGTTCAGGTGAACAATTGGACTTCGTGTCTGTACTTGTAGGATCTGGAAATTCCCTCCTCTCCCTGTATGCTGCCCTCACACAAATCAGGTCAGTTGGTTAGTCCTTACCTCTCCTGCCCTGTGACAAGGGGAAGCAAAATGTAGAGCCAGCCTGTAGTTGGTGGACAGTCATGCCTTTGTGTCGGGATGTCAGGAGGCAGGGTGGGCAGGGGTGGAGGGGGAATTCTACACCTCACCTAGATATTAAAACGTGCAAAAAAATCTGAACAGATGCCCCATCAAAAGGTACATGGTTCAGAAATAAAAACATAAAAAACAGTTTTCATAGCATATGCTCCTAGCAATGTGTATATCAAAGCAACACTAAGACACTACTACATAAATGTTACCATAACCAAAACCAGAATATGGACAATACTGAGTACTAAAAAATGTGAACTTTCACTAATTGCTGATGAAAATGTAAAATCATATAGTCACTTTGAAATGCAACTTTTCAGTTTACAAAAACTACATATAAACACAACATGCAATCCAGCAATTCATATGCATTGGTATTTACTCAAAGTAAATAAAAATATGTCCACATAGAAAGCTACATACGTGTTCTTAAAAGTATTATTTTTCAAGTGCCAAAAATGTTCTTTATAAGAGAATGTGCAAATTGATTATGCCATTTACAAACATTTATTATTGCTCAGTAATAAAAATAAAAGCAGTCACTATAAAATATATAGAATAAATCTAAATACATGTTATTAAGTTAACTCATTCTGAGAATGTTACATACTATATGATTTAAATGATGTAGCATCTAGAAAAGGCAATAGATCAATGGTTTAAAAAAAAGCAATGTTTGCTGAGGGTTTAATAGAGAGAAATGACTAGGTGGAGTCCAGATGATTTTTATGTCAGTAAAATTATCCTGTATTATAATGCTATTAAACATTTGTCAAAGCCTATGTGATATATAGTACAAAGAATAGACCCTAATATAAACTGGAAGTCTGCTTGATAATAATGAATGTTGGTTCACGACTGTAACACATGTACCATATCGATGCAGACATATTTCATGGGGAAATGATTAGTGGAAAATCTGTTTCACTAAATTTTTCTGAAAACCTAAAACCTTGATAAAATACAAAGTCTATTAATATAATAAAAATTAAACTTTCAAATAAATAAAATGGGGAAATAAACCTAAGAAATTTCAGAAAAAAAGTCCATATTTTTGATACCCTGAGAAATCAATAGAAAAACAGGTTCTGAGCTATAGATTATTTTTTTAAAGGTAAAAAAATAAAATCCACTCAGCAGATTCATGTTCTGGATGGAGAAGAATCATTTCTAAATTCCTCCATCTAGATAGAGAAATCTAAACTTATATATATATATGAACATAAGAAGACCCTGAAAAGTGAAAATATGGTAACTAGGTACACTGAAGTCTGATGAGTGAATAACAAAACAGTGAGTTCCTTAGGCTCTCTTTTGATATTATGTACACTTAGACTGAAAGTTAAAAGAAAACAGCAGCCCAGGCACATCAGTAAAACTCACTAGATATATTTCAATCTCCAAATGTTTGATAATTTCAAAACACAGTCTTAAAATCCATTTCAAAGAAGAACTCATAAAGAAACATAGTCATCTTCAAATTGGATTAAGCAGAATATCAATGTGTGACATGCATCAAAGGCAGTATTTAGAAAAAATTTATAGATCTGTCATTGTTGGGGGGAATAACAAATTTGTATCCAGTTACATAAGTTTACAATTTAAGCAGTTAGAAAAGAATAACTCAAGCCTTCAAGGAAGTCAGAAGAAAATAACAATGAGATTAGAAATCAATAAATAAGAAAGTAAACAAAACAGAAAAATGGAAACTTTCTAAATATTTTTAAAATCATAAAACTAACAAGGACTATTTATAACTCAATAGTTTAATCCTAAAACAACAAAAAGTTTACCTTGGCCAACTCTGTAATTTTACCAAAACCAAGCTTCCGAGAGGGAGTTGTGAATAGACAATCTTAAATCCACTTTCATAAAGTTGGGACTCTTCAGGAAAGTCTTCTTCAGAAATAGAGCATTTATTGTATCTCGAGTCAGCATTCATAAAGCAGTACCACGGCTCATTGTGATCAACTTTGGCTGCATCTTCACTTGACAACAATCTCCATTTCAAACAATTTTCATTCTCACACTGAACCCATATTTTGTTTATGTACATATTGTTTTCCACTGTGGAATCCATTGTGTCATAAGGATATCCAGTTGTTCTACCAAATTTTCTTTTCTACAAATATATTTAACCTGGAAAGTAAGAAAAAGGAAAATACAAAATAAGGATTCCATGTAAAATAAGAAGAAAAATTCAAACCTATTGCATCTCCTTCTAGAAAAATGGCTACAACCAAGAAATAAAATAATAAATGTTGGTGAGGTAAGGGGAAATAGAACCCTTCAATATTGTGATGGGAATACTAACTAGTATAACCACTATGAAAATAAATACTAGCAGACCTCAAAAAACTGAAACTGGAAATTCTATTAGACTCAGCCATTCCCCTTCTATTATCTTTCGCAGAGTTTAAGATATCACATTGCAGTGATACACTATGTGCAGAATCATGTTTATAGCAGCACAATTTCAACAGCTAAATTGTGGCAGCAACCTATTTGACCATCAAGAAATGAATGGATAAAGGCCAGGAATTTAGCTCAGTGGCATAAGTAACTGTCTGGCAAGTGCAAGGTCATAAGTTCAATTCCTAGTACAAAAAAAAATGAATGGATACATAAAAAGTATATTTATACAGAGCAGAGTCCATAAAAAATGGATAAATTTGAGTCATTTGTAGGGAGGTGGGTATACCTTGGGAACATAATGTTAAATAAAATAAATCAGAATACAAGTTTAAATATGTTTTCTTTCATGTGAGAAATTCAAAATACAAATAAATTCCAAAAAGTACAATAGAAAGTAGGGACATAGATTTTTTTTTTCCAAATAGGAAGGGAGACAAGATGGAAGAAAGGAAGGGAAAAGGATAAAAGAAGAAATCAGATTTGTTATGTATGTCTACCAACTCCCTGTGAGGAATGAGATCATTATATAGTACAAACTTGTACAAGTAACAAATACAAATTGAAAAAATTCAAACCAAAATTAAAGAAAACTCTGATATCTTTTTTTCCCACCCTCTGTCCTTCCAAAGGCTGTATATGTTGAACATGTTGCTAATAATCCAGGAACAAAGCAACAAATCAGAAATATCAACTGATCTGAATAGTAAGTGCTGTAAATTTTAGAATATGAAAATATGATGGAGCAGGATAGTAGAGATAGCTAAATTTCTATTAACCTGCTACATAGCAATATCCAGTAAGTGTCAAATATTCTGTCAGTATCAAGTGGTGAAACATGCTGATTATACCCCATGCATTATTCTGTGTTTTATGCATGTAACTCATCAGTCTCCATACATATTTTTCTGCCCTGTTTTGACAGGGGAAATGTAGCCAAGAAAATGAAGTATGTTTTTACATCCTAGAGTTACGATGAGGTAAGATTTAAATTCATATGTAGTTCTAAATGTTGTGACCTTTCGATTAGACTAAATTGCTCCTTGAGTATACCTAAAGCATGCCTTGACCCTCTCTCTAATTCTCACAAAAACCAAATGCAATAAAATATTTCATCATGCAAAAATTTAATATTAATTTTAAAATTAAATATTGTGTTTATATAGCTTCATTTTTAATTTTCTTCAAATTTTTGTTTTATTATGAAAATTTTACACATATAAAAAGTTATATAATTACATGATTAAACCCTCAAAATACAGAATCTATAATGTTATATCCATAAGAATAAATACCACTAAAATATAAGTAAAATTAATTGTTAGTAAGTCATTTTGCAATGCAATGCTTATTAAGAAAAATAATTGGGTGTACCATAATCATATATTAGTAAAACACTACTATATAAATGTTAGTATCATTTAATTAATAAAGCCTCTGGTTAATGAATTAATCATATCTTACTTGGAAAATTGCAAATTGCTTTAGAATTTTTCAATAGTCATAATTCACAGTTTCTGAACTAATCATCCTACTCATCTAAATGTATCCAAAGAAAACAAATTTAAGAGACTAGTTTTTTTCAGAAAGATCAAAAATATTTTTCTGCAGAACTATTTAACGTATTTGAAAAGTGGAAAAATTTTTAAGAGTCAAAAAAGAAAAATTTGATAATGTAAAATTTTGATAATGATATTTTTATTTGATTCATTCTGTCAAGGATAAGGAAATTGATAAGGAGCCATGGGGGTTGATGCTTCTTTTTCTCTTTATTATTTTTCTTGCATTTTTCTGTTACTTTTACCTAACTTTATTAACTCTATTTTTTATCTCAGATTTTTGGATCACTTTTGTCACCTCCTCCTCATCTTCATTTTCTTTCTTTTTCAGATTTTACTTTCATTTTTTCTCATTTTTATCTCTTCCATTTTATTATTAGTAGAAGTAAGGATTATTAAATTGTAGCTATTTAGTTGCCTTCATAATAACAATTCTTTTCTATCTCTAATGCTGTCATAGTTCATTTTAGTTGAAATTTACTGGGTCAATATTTGGTTCATCTCTGTGTCTATGTTATTATTGTAAGTCTCTACTGCAAAGAGTGTTAAATTGTCTGTTGTTTCTTATGATATGTCAATACCTGTTTTCCCTTGAGATTACAGAAGAAACAAATTCAAATTAGTAAGTTTGAAGATTTAATTAAACAAATAAAGGATTTTACTAATAGAATGTTCAAAAACCTGAAAGAACAAACAATAAACTAATTGAGTCATACAAGATATGAATAACTATTTTGGTAAAATATTAGAAATTATGAAAAAAGAAAGCAGAAATATGAGATTGGAAAATTCAAATTATGCAAGGGTAATAGATAAAACCAGTGTAAGGACAGAATATTAAAGTGAATAAAGTGGACATAGTAGATCAGAAATTCAATAACATAAAAATTAGCAAGACACTATGCAAGCTGGATCCAACAGCTATTAGATGATTCAAAAAACCTCAGAATTGTAGAAATAAAGAAAAAATTAAAGACAAAAAATTATAAAAATATCTATCCCTTGATATGATAGTAATTTTCCAAATCTAGGGAAAATTTCAATATTCAAGTACAAGAGGCACATAGAAACTTTCAAAACCAAAGCCAGAAAAAAAAACTATCCATAAAACATCATAATTAAAATTATAAACTCGCTGCAGCGGCGCTCCTGGCAGTGCTTGGTCGACTCTGGAGTTCTGAGAAGGCAAGCGGGAGCCATCGTTTGGAGGCTGGACTACCTGGTGTAAGTGCCCCGCGTACTGGGCCTCCCCAGTCCAGATAGTTTGGGACCCTTGCTCAGCCCCGAGAGGGAACTTTGTGGCTTCCTGGTGCACTAGACCAGCGCTGCGGGTCCTAGGCGGGCCTAGGGCGGCCTCCCCGCTCCTAACCTTGCTTGGAGGGAGGACTCTGGAGTTCTGGTGAGCAGGCGCCATCAGTTCCAGGGGCTGCGCTTGGGCCGCCCTGCTCCACCCCAGAGACCCTCTCTCAATCCAGGGAGCTGGGTGGCCAGAATCCCAGGAGCTGAGGGCATAGAAGAGGATCGCCAGCAGACCCTGGGGAAGCCTTGGAATGACACTTGAAACACAGAAATATAGGAAAATGACAAAACAAAAGACCAAATTACAATCTCAAAGCTGCAGCCCATCCAAAGAAACCTTAGGAGCAATGTACATAGAAGAAAATATATGCTATACACCTGAAATATCAGACATAATAGCAACTGAAATAAAGAAGCAACTCCAGGAAGCTTTAAAGGAATTCAAACTAGAAATAATCTCTCAGGTAAAAGAAGAAATGAAGGAGATGCTAAACATATCTAAAGAAGACACAGTTAAAAAATTGGAGGAACTAAACAAAAAGAATCCCTGGATGAGCAATATAAGAAACAAAAGTATAGAAACTCAACTAAAGGAGAAAATACTAAAATTTATTAGAGAAAAAATAGTAAAAAACCTATAAAGGCAAATCTATGGAAATGACAGCCAATCTTTTATCACAAAACCTAAAGTCCAGAAGAGCTTTGTCAAGTCCTAAAAGAAAGAATTGTCAATGCAAAATTAGTGTTCAAAACTGATGGAGAAGTAAAGACTTTCCATGACAAAGAAATCCTAAAGAAATACATAATTAGTAAGTTAGCATTGCCAAAAATACTTTCAGGAATCCAAAATGAGGCAGATAAGCCACCAATATCAAAAAGACCAAAGGCAAGTATATATCTATGAGAGTAATTAAACAAAATAATAAGCACAGGAGAGATAACGCAATATAATGATTCAGTTAACACTTATAACTATCAATTTCAAGATTTTTAACTCTACAGATTTAAGTTTGGGCCAAAAAAATAAAAATATAAACAATATGTTGTCAGAAGGAGACATCTCATTCTAACGAAAGCCCACAGACTAAAACTGAAGGCTAAAAAAATGAAATGTCATGCAGTGGGAGCCTGAAAACAAGCAGCGGACGCTATCCTATTTTCAGGCATATTAAAACTCAAGCTAAAGTTGTTTTTGAAAAAACAAGTGGCCACTACATGCTGAAAAAGAGAACAACTGAACAGGAAGAAATAACAATTTAAATGTATAGGCATCAAATACTGGTGTTCCCAACTTCGTTGAACAAAGGCTACCACATATAAAAAGACAGATACCAAAGAAACATAAAAGACATTAATACCACACTCTTAACAAACAAATCAATGACTTATGTACCCTGAAAAACTTTCGTTCAAAATTAATAGTGAAACAAGGTAATTTCATGAAATCACAAAAAAATCATGACAACCAGACCTATATTACAAAATATCTCAAGGATGTCTTAGAAAGAGACAATGAAGCCAATATTGCAAAAGGTCAAAAGAATAAGTATAGAGTGAGCAGCAAAACAAAAGAAAAATATATATAAGGAAATCAGCAATGTGAAAATGATACAATGACAAGAATAAATCAATACCTCTTGGTAATAACTCTCAACATCAATGGCCTCAATGCCCCAAATTACACAGATTAGCAGAATTGATCAAGAAAAAAAATCAGTGATATGAAGTATATAAGAAAGACCTTTACTTCATAAAAATTCACAGATTAAAAATTAGAGGGTGGAAAACAGGAATCTAGGAAAAATGTACAAAAGCTCTTCTGTTTTCAGATAAACTGTATTACAAGTTAAGACTGATTAGAAGAGCCAA